GAAATCCAAGAGGATACATAATGACAACGGAAGCAGTGCACCAAAAAGGCTAAAATCTGTTGACAACTGAGCTCTTGGTCGGACTAAGGAGGATTTAAAGGACTACCTCTAGAGAAAGCGGCAGAACGATGCCGAGGTCATATCCCCTGTCAAGCTGAGAATGTTGTTCTCAGTGGAGTTGGATAGGTTTGAGGCCCTAAAGAGGTTTCAAATGTTGTGGTTCTGTAGCTCGACTTTTTCGCCCCCTTTTCAAAAGTTTGGACTCCCGCGGTTTTAAATCTAATCTCATAAGTGCAATGTGAAATTGATAAACACCAAAGAGTCCAAATCCAGTAAATCTTTTGAAAAATCGATTTTGAATCAAATTGCCAAAAAAGGACTGTTTTGCCAGATAAAGAGTCGTCACCTAAATATTTTTGAGAAATTTAGGAAACCCATGACTCGTGTCATAGGGCACATGTTCGTCATCACCAAGATTGTCTCGGCTCGGGAACTTAGGTACGAGAGGGAAAGGTCATAAATGCATTTGAGCACTCCCGCTTGCCCGATCAAAGATCAACCTCTACTAATCCTGATATGAATCTTATGTACATCATATGCTCTTGTTTCAGTTTATTAGGCTAGCATTACTATGTGATGAGTACACAAACAAGTATACACTAAATTGCAAGAATTGGAACATTTCGATTCATGTTTGTTTTGAAAATTGTTTCGAAATATACACCATTTGAAAAGTGATCGCATATGAACATTTACTCAAATTATTCCAATTCAAGCAATAAGCCTTCATCCACAGGCATACAAGCAGTTTGTCACTTAAACACTTAACCTCATGGTAAGCATGCTAAACATGGCAACATCAACACTCATGCAATTATGCTAAAGCAAGTAAAGGCTCACCTGGTACTCTAAGCTAAAACAAAAGAGTTAGAAAAAATGCATGATTCCTAACTATGCAATATGACTAATGTAACACATGTGATATGCAACTAAATAGGCTCGGCTACTTAACATGGCATTTGAAACAATTTGATAGCATGTGGTTTAAGCACATATTCAAAGAAGTATTGAACTAATAATGCAGTTAGAATGATGTGCCAAGCCTTGGTGCATGCAATACAAATGGATGCAAACATGGAGAATGCTAATTGAAACGTGATGTCCCTAAATTAACCATCATAAGCTAGTAAATAAAAGGGAGAAAGACGTGGAGTTAAAAAACATACACATTACTACATTGCGCTCTCACGAAGGAGAGTCTGAATGAATAAACTAAGCTAACTAGCTAACTAATTAAGGCTAAGCTAATTATTACAAAACAAATAAAATAAATAGCTAAGCTACTTAACTAATTATTACAACAAATGAATTAACTATTCTAGTTAACTAAAATAATTACAAGACGAAATTGAATAACTAATTAGATAATTACAACACAAGTGCAATTAAAATAAGTAATTAAACTAAACAACTAACTACTCTACCTCGGGAAACTAGGGATGCTCATGTACATGCTTGGTTTCTACCCGAAAAGCCACTGTTTTGCTTCTGGAGAGCCTCTGTTGCACAATAGAACACATACACTGCTGCTCACTTCCAGAATAACTCTAGTCTGCCGAAAGAACACACTGCTAAAATTTGCATCAGTGGCCGGCCAGCCAGTGATAAAGGTTGCCGGCCACTAGTGATGGCCGGCCGGTCATCAAAGGTGGTCTGTCGCCACCTGCCGGCCACTGCTGCCCAGTTCTCCTTGCTGCAATAGAAGACAAACAAAGCATATACATGGTATTTTCAAGGGTTTGTTTGCACCACTCATCCCTCCTTTTCATGAACAAATCAAAGGAGTAGCAAGTTTGGTTCATAAACCATCAGCGGATGCAATTTCATTGCATGATGGCTTGTGAAACCAAGTGCGCAAGTTCAATAAATGCAACAAAATGAGACTCTCATGAATGATCAAGGAAAGTAGTGACCTTGGAACCTTGAATCATTTCATCATTTTTTTTTGTTTTGATAAGCAAAAGAGAACTTTATTGATGAAGAAAGCAGAACAAGCAAAAACTTACATCAATAAAGAGGAAAGTGCAAAAGCATCACCGCTAGCCTTAACAATCCCAACTAGGTTGGCACTGCTAAGGAAGCAATATCATCTGCTAGCACTTGACCCAAGATTGGCGAGAAACCAATCCGGAGAAAGCAAGAGAAAGGGAAAAGAAAATTAAAAAAACCTAGCCAGCCACCTATACAATGTCTAATCAGAAGCATAAGCATGATCTAACATTATAGCAACATGATACAATCCACACAGCAGAGCATGATCTTCCTCTAGAGTATGATCCTCATATTAGCAGAGCACACTAGCAGCAGCCTCATACTTCAGACAGCAGAGCATGGTCCTTGCAGCCACAGCCACCACTCAGGTTTGAACCTGAAACAAGCCTCACAGCAGGCCCACTCACACTGGAGGGCCCTCAGACCATTCCAACTGCAGCAGTCACAGTCAGACACATACTAATACAAAGAGCACAGCAGCCAGAAAAGGATGGAGGAGCCTCAGACATCATTCTTCAGACAGCACCACCACTCAGACTTGAACCTGATACAATCCTCGCAGCAGGACCACTCACACTGGTGACAGATACCTTCACAGACAGATCAGCTTCCAGTTACAGCCCAGCTTCCACCTTCTACCTTCACACTTGTAACAAACTAGCCATAATTCTATGTCATACACCCTCTGACCTGCTTCAAGTTTGCGACGATATCATGTACTGTGTAATTCACCCCTTTAACATTTGACTTAACCCATAATGCAATTCTTACTTTCAATCTCTTTAACATCTGTGCAAAATCTGCAATACCATTGTTAAATAAACATTCATTCCTAAGTTTCCATAAGGACCATAACAGAGCCAAAGGGACCACCTTCCAAATATTGAACTCCTTCTTCCTTAATTTCGTACCAGACCACCAGTCAAGCAAAACAATCACAGATCCTGGTGTTACCCACTGCACTTCCCACCAGCTTATCAACTCAGACCATAACTTCCACACCAATGGACATAAAAACAACACATGATTTATGTTTTCTACCTCTGCTTTGCAAAATACACATAAGGAGCTGACATTGATGGGTAGAGCTCCAATCCTGTGCATAAATTCTGCAGTTTTGATTCTCCTTTTCCAAGCTAACCAGCTGAAGAACTAAGCCTTTGGAGGTGCTGCATTTTTCCACAGGAACTTTGAAATGGGAATCATGGATCCATTAACTAACTCCAACCTTTCCCACACTGAAGCCACAGTGAATACCCCTGAATTATGAGCTTTCCACAGACAGTTATCCTCAGTCACAGGATTTAGAATAGGAACCTCTGCTAATACTACATTTAGCCTTTGTACTTCCTCCTCCTCCCATGCTAAGAGCGATCTTCTAAATGCCACCTTCCAATCACTGCCCGCCCCTTTCCGTTGGTAGAAAAACTGCAAGGAACCATCCTTCTCCACGGATAAACTAAACAGTCTAGGGAACTCACACCTAAGACTCATTTCATTGAACCATCTATCCGTCCAAAAATGAATCCTTTCCCCATTTCCCATGATAATCCTAAAATTTTGTGAGAAAAACTCCGCCACTACACTATTGGATGAGGCTAATGATGCAATATCCTTCCACACTGTAGATACCATTGCAGCTGACACTGGTTCTGGTGTCCACCTACCTCCAATCCCACCATATTTGCTACATATCACCCTTTTCCAAAGAGACTGATGCTGACGACCATACCTCCACCACCATTTTAACATTAAACACACATTAACATCACTGAGACTTCTCAAACCCAACCCCCCTTGGGCTTTACTTTTACACACCTCTTTCCATTGAACTAGGTGAATTTTCCTTTGAATTTCAGAACCTCCCCACAAGAAGTTTGATTGAATCCTATTAATTGTTTTAGCAACACCAACAGGCATTTTAAAGATGGATAGAAAATACATTGGAAGACTTGACAAAACAGACTTAACTAGGGTCAATCTGCCGGCAAAGGACAAGAATCTCCTTTTCCAAGATGCTAATTTCTTTTTAAACTTCTCCACCACCGGTTGCCAAGTACTTTTTCTCCTTGGATTGGCCCCTAAAGGTAAACCAAGATATGACAGAGGTAGACTCTGGTTGAGGCAATTTAGTTTTTTAGCAAACTCCTTAACTAACTCCTCTTCTACTCCAATACCACAAACTATACTTTTTTGAAAATTAATCTTGAGGCCTGACATGACTTCAAAACACCTCAAAATTCTTTTAAGCACTATAATTTCATCCCACTTGGCTTCACAAAAAATAATGGTGTCATCTGCAAATTGTAAATGAGAGATTTTTAGCTCTTGATGACCAACTGAAGCTCCTCTGATCATCCCCTTTTCTTTGGCTCTCTCTAATAGGACATTTAAACCTTCTGCCACTATATTGAATATGAAAGGCGATAGTGGATCTCCTTGTCTAAAACCCTTCTGAGGAGAAAACTCTGCTGTGGGCGATCCATTCACAAGCACTGAGATCCTTGACATAGATATACAGGACCAAATCCAACCCACCCATTTTTCACCAAACCCAAAATTCTTCATCATTGACAGTAAAAACTCCCAGTTGACTGAATCATAGGCCTTCTCAAAATTCAATTTAAGAATGATTCCTTTTTTCTTGGACTTTCTCCACCAATCCACCACTTCATTTGCAATTAAAACCCCATCCAGGATGCATCTACCAGAGAGAAAAGCAGATTGAACTTCTCCTATGAGCTTTGGGAGTACTTGTCTTACCCTTCTAGACAACACTTTAGCCAACACTTTATAAATTGAGCTAACCAAGCTTATGGGCCTATATTCACTCAAATCTATTGGGTTCTTCTTTTTAGGGATCAAAGTGATGAAAGAGCTGTTTACCCCTTTGGCCAACTTCCCATTACGATGAAACTCTTGGAACAACTGAATGAACGCACCTTTCATTAAAGACCAGCACTTTTGAATGCAATACAAATTAAAGCCCTCCCAGGGGCTTTATTCCCATCACAGTCTTGAATGGTTGCCCAAATTTCTGCTTTACTAAAATCTGCCTCCAACACTTCCTTTGAGTCAATAGAACTAATGGACAACAAAGGCCCTGCCAACTTAGGCCTGCTCTTCCAACTTTCAGCAAAAACTCTTCTAAAGTAGTTCACCACTACTTGCTTCACCATACTTGGGTCCTCCACCACAACACCATTTTCTTGCACTGAATCCAATAAATTTTTCCTCTGCCTGTTACTTGCCATCAAGTGAAATAGTCTAGTATTTTTATCACCATTTTGTGCCCATGACATTCTAGACTTTTGTAGCCACAACCTGTCTTTACTTCTACTTAGATTCCAAACTTGACTTCTGATCTCCCGACTTCTAATCACCTCTGATTCCAACAAGGATCCAGATTCAGCCATCAAATCCCACTTATGGAGTTCATCTTCAGCTTTTTGAAGTTGATCATCAATATTACCAAAGACCTCCAAGTTCCACCTACGCAGATATGCTCTCAGTCTTTTGAACTTAGACATGATTCTATAACTAGCCCAACCCTGAATCTAAGCCTCCTCCCAGACCTTTTCCACATCCTTTTTAAACTGAGGATGGGATGTCCAGGCATTAATAAACCGAAAAGGTTTAGGCCCCCAATCCTTCCCATCCTCCATAAGCAAAACTGGACAGTGATCTGAAATTCCTTTAGCCAAACCCCATTGTTTAAATTTATACTTCTCTAACCAGACAGGATCAAGCAAAAACCTATCAATCCTACTCCACCTCTCCCCATCCAATGCATTACACCATGTGAATAATCTTCCATGCATATTCAGATCAATTAATTCCAAGCTATCTATAAGATTATTAAAATCTTTCATTCCCCTATCCCTTCTTGAACATCCCTTCCTTTCACTCATAACTCTAATCTCATTAAAATCACCACCCAGACACCAAAGGTTGGGATAAGAGAGTTTAAGATTTATAAGACTCTCCCATAGTTTCCTCCTCTTCAATACATCAGTCGGAGCATAAATATTGCAGATAACACAATGAAAAGATTTAGATAAGATACCTGAAAGAAGAATGAAATTCCTGGAACTGCAGCAGTCTACCAACTGAAAAATCTGGGGGGTCCAAATGCAAAGGAGACCACCTGCACTTCCCTCTGCACCTACCTCCATAAAACCCATTTCATCCATTGGCCATAAGGACTTTACAAAATTACCATCAACAGCTTCTCTCTTAGTCTCCTGCAGCATCAAAACATCTACTAATTTTGCCCTCGATAATGCTTTAATTCTACTCCTTTTTTCAGGTCGTCTAAGACCCCTGACATTCCATGACATGAGCTTCATTAAAACCTTCAACACAGCTCCTATACTCCTTCATTTTTCCAGCAGCTTAATCAGCCTCGCCCCTCCCTTCAACTCTTTCCAAATCTTTTTTCTCCAACTCTATTATTCTGGCCACCACTTCCTCCTCTTTTCCCTTCGCAGTTTAGCCCTAAAGCCTTTCCGACCTCAATCGTAGCTTGGGCTTCTTTAAGTAACTTGCTTCTTCTTTGAGAACTACTCCTCTGTGATGCTGATAGGGACGTAGCAACTGCTGCCGCTCGAAGGATCACTCCACTCCTGAGACTGCTACTAAATAGAATCCCTTCTATTTTGGATGGCCCTCCTGCTCCATTTTTTCTTTACTCTAGTCGACTCCTTTCCTCTTCAGATCAAACTTCCTTTTTGATCCAGCTTTAACTTTCTGAGATGGCCCCCCTTTTCGTGGTTGTCTTTGTTTGCTGCATCTTCCCCTGCAGCCTTATACTGAGACTGGGCTATGCAGTCACTCAAATTGGAATTAACTTCCCATCTTGGCCTATTAGTTATAGGCTGAACTTGGGCTCCATGTAACACAACTTCTACATTTATTTTGGGCCGTCCACACTCCAACCCAGTTGAACTATTCATAAAACCTGAAGTGCACACCTGATCTTCTACCCGTTGACTTTCCAGTACCCTTGAGCAGGAGCAGCTCGCCTGCAGCTCCCTTTCGTTCCCTAGAGCACGCTCAGCTTCTTTTTCTGCTACTCCAGACATGAAATGATGGCCTCCATCTACTGCCGTTAGTACTCTTTCCACTGTGTGAGTTCCATTAATTGACACCTCATCAGTTTTTACCAAATCCTCATCATCACCCTTCTCTGCAACCGACCCAACTTCACCTTCATCCCCACCTTCAGCACCATTGACAGCCACCTCTAGATGAACATTATCAACCTGGCCCCTTCGAGTGATCAAGTGTTCAACCTCATTGTGCAAATTGGATTCCATTACTTCATTTATCTGGCAGCTATACTCACCATTACATTGGCAGATACTGACAAAGGGCTCTTCATACACTCTCACTTGATAATCCCTCTCAGTTCCTAGTAAATTAATTACCGTATTGATGGGCTCCATAACTTTTGTGATAATCCTTACTTTGCCAAACATAAAATGTTTACCTCCCACTGTATCTTCATCGTACTGAACTACATCTCCCCATACTTTGCCAATGGCTTCGAAGGTCTTCATATTCCAGAGATTGAGAGGTACTCCCACACAATTGAGCCAGATACATCTATCAAGTTCCATTAACTTCCCTTCTTCCCATTCAGATACTTCATCACTCCAGTCATGAATCCACTCCTCCATTCTCACTCGTGCTTCCTTCTTCTGCTGATTGGAGCTAAATGATAGAATTGCCTGCTTTCCTCCCGCTTGTCTAACTACCACATCCTTATCAATCCTCTTGTAGATCTCCTTTCTAAAGTCATGGAAGGAGAAAAAAGCTTTAAGCTTGACCAGGACACTATCATATAACCACCCGTTCCCAGCCTCCACAGCTCTAACAGACACATTTTGTTTTCCATATTCTCCTCCATTTTGTCGTCCAGTTTGAACTACTTCCGCATATGACTTACCTTTGATTCACATCATAGGTTGGATGGGGGTCCACTGCTTTTTCTGCACCATACCTCCCTACTTAGCATTTGTGAGCATCTGTCTACTTTGATTGGACTTGCTAAACGCAGCCAACTTTACTCTCAATGCCCTGTTATAACACCATAAGCCATCAGCTTTGTGCACTGCCATCTCTGCAGCCACCTTACAGTCATACCTAACAAATCCAAATCTTGTTCTTGTTGTTTTCCTTCTTTTCACTGGTATGAAAACATCCTTCACAACTCCAAACTTACTGAACATATTAAATAGATCTCTAGGGGTCATGGCCTCTGGTACTTCATCAACGAATAGAGATACCAAGTCATTCATCCTTGCTCGACCATTTTGCATACCCGTCCTCCGTTTTTTGAGAACCGGATTCCACCCTCCTTCCATTCCTCTTGAGACCCTTTTGCGCTGTTCAAAACCGAATCATTTCATCATTAATGAGTATGAAATGGTTCAAGTTTCCATGTGTTCAATTAACGTCCGATTGAACACAGCCAATTATTATCTTTCACCATTTTAGCCTCAATTTTAATTACTCATTTTAGTTTACCAACCATTCTTTAATCAATTGAGTCCAAAGGTGAGTTTAAGTCTAATGGAGTGAAGTACCAAACCAGGAGTTAACTTAAGACATGAAAGAGATGTCATGCCGTTGATAATGAACCCCGAAAAGGGATTAAACCATTAAGCATGACAACCTTAATCTCATGCTTAAAAGAACAAAAGGCTTGAAACAACTCTCAAAACAAAACAAAAGCCAAGAAAGGAGGGAGGTTGTAGAGATTATTAGTGCTGAAAATAAGTGAGAAAAACATAAATAAATGCCATCAATTCAAAGGAGATGGTGTCTAAGGCCTAGAACACCAAGCTCATGAGGATAATTACACTATAAGCATGCAAAACAAAGCTCAAATGCAATTAATAGCCCAAAACAATGCTAAAGCAGGTCTAATACAGTCCTAAAACATGCTGGATACAGTCCTAAAACAATGCTAGATTAACATGCTAAAACATGACACAAACTAGGCTTGTAAGTAAGATACAAGAAGGGGGAGGCTAACCGGTCTAATTTTGGACTTCAAAACACGATTTTGGCCACTGAAATAACTCTGAAATTCAGTATTTAAAAGCTTGGAAAAAGATAGTAAAATGGTGGGAAACATAAGGGTAAAGGCCTTGAAAGTAAGGTGTAAAGAAGGGTGAACCACCCCTCAACCCTTATTGGCCCTAAACCACAAGTTTCAACCCAAAAATACAGAGTTTATACAGCCCAAAAATAGTACAAAAATGTGCTGGATTGAATACAAAAATAGCTAAAATATTGAGCAATTTAAGCTAGTAAACAAGCCAAAGGAGGGGTGGCTAACCCCTTCATTTTTGGGACCTCAAAACCACCTTTTTAGCTTCTGAAAACCTCTGAAAATCAGTGGTAAAAAGCTCAAAAAAAATTGATGAAGAAATGGGAAACACAAGTGGAAAGGCTTAGATAACAAAGTTCAAAGAATGATGATTAACCCCTCTAATAACCTTAAACCACAAGCTTCAGCCCATAAAAACAGTCTAAAAACACTTCAAAATCAACAAGAAAAGATAGAAAAGAAATATCACCTTTGTTCATAAACCAAAAAGTTCTCACTCTCAAGGGTTGAAATTTGGACTCAATAATCTCAGCAAGGAGAGCTCCAATATTGGTTTAAGAAGTGTAGAGAGAGGGTGTATAGGTTGCAAGATAAAGATAGAGAGAGAATTTCAAGTTTTGGAACTTTTGGAATTTTTCAACCTTAAACCACGAAGGAAGGTCCCCTTTATATTGAAAACTAGCCCCTCAAGTCAAAAATATCAAGTTTGGAACAACTGGAGCTTTTGGGGGACAACTGGCCAAAAATATCTAGGTTTTTCACCAGTGGCCGACGGGCCAGAAATGTGTATTGCCATCCATCAATGGTGGCCGACCGGCCATCTGCCGGCCATCAAAAATTTGCTTCCAGGCCGACTTCAAATGGACATATCTCCTTTATCCGGACTTCTTTTCAAGTCATTCTTAAGTCTAAATTGAAGCCCCGAAAGTGTAGTTTCCAATGGTTATAGCCTCACATCTAAATTCTAAGTGTGCAAAGAGATATGCATATTTTAGTGAAGGTTGCTCATTTATATCTTAAATGGATTGATGCCCAACTTTAAATGGCCATATCTCCTTCATCCGAACTCGACTTTAGAAGGTTCTTGAGTGTAAATTGAAGCCCCGGAAGTCCACTTTCCAATGGTGGTGCCATCACATATAAAGTTAGAGTGTACAAAGAGATAGCCCTGATTTAGTGTAGGCTACTCAGTTCTCCCTTGACGGTTTCAAGCCCAACTTCTTCCCCAACTAGTTTACTTCCCTCTCTTCCAATTTTCTTCAACTCCAAACCTATAAATAAGAGGGTCAAAATATGTTTCAAAGATTTCACCTCTCTTCCATTTATTTCCATTTTGTTCTTGCTCGATTTACCAAAAAGTGCAACATTTAACGAAATGCGAGTCTCGAAACATCGTAAAAACATTTTCAAAAATATTTTGACAAAGAGGATTTTAAGGTCTAAAATAGTTTTGGTCCAAAATAGGGTGTAAGGCTAGGATTTAGAAGTTCTTCTTGTTGAAAAAATTGAGCAATTGGACAGCGTAACTTTCATGATCGAGTGATCAACCTAAGGCGCCTAAGTCTTAAGGGTGGTAAAAAATGGGGTGTCTACATGTTCCAGATTTATAATGGTAAGTCCAATCCAAACTTTCATGTCAGCTTATATCTGAATTTGATGGCTTTGTATACCGAGAATGAGCAGTTGTTGTGCAAAGTGTTCCCCTCATCCTTTGGGAAAATCGCATCAAATTGGTTCCACAAGCTACCGAAAGGAACTGTGAAGAGTTGGGAAGGCTTGGCCGAGATGTTTGTGGCCAGGTTTGTTACGAACAAGTTACAGCCACTAAGGGTAGACTTGCTGATGGCTCTGAACATTAGCGAGGGTGAAAGCCTCAGGGCTTATGGCAAGAGGTATTATGAGGTGTTCAATCGAATTATGCAACCAGGAGGTGGCGGTCATGTTTTTTAAGAACGGCCGGAAGGATAAATACCCGTTTTGAAAATCGCTGACGAAAACTTTACCAAAAAGTATAGAGGAGCATATGGCATGAATTGCAAAATATGCCAGAGCAGAAGAGGATACGTTGAGAACGAAGGCACCAAAGCAAGAAAAGAGAAACGGCTTGCCAAAGTGAGGCTGAGGTAACACTAGTTTTAACAGGTAGGAGACAGGCTTGAGGGCTACACAAGCAGTCACCACTGTGTTCCGGATCCCGGTTTACAAAGTTCTAGAAAGAATCAGGAACCA